CGGTGCCCCTTAGCGCCTTGGAGGCGCGGGGGTTCTTCGTCGTTTTGTTTTTGTTTTTTTTTTTCCCTGCAAAGGCGCGCTCTCCATCTTCCACCCCCCAACTTCCCTGGGCCCCCGCAGCCCCCCGCTCACACGGGGACTGACGTCTCTGGCTTGCGAGTCCCTTTCCTCCGAGGCACACGAAGCAGCGCGGCATCCCTTGTCCTCTTCCCCGGGCGGGAAGGCGGGGAGATGCGCATCGAGGCTCCTCCCCCATGCGCGGCCCCCATGCGGGTGTTGCGTTTCCTCTTCTGCTCCCACCACCCCTTTTACTCCCGCCTGCGTTCTTGATCCCCAAGTTGCGTTAGGGACCTGGGCCGCTTCTCTTCTGCCTTCCCCGCCGCGAGTGAGTCCTTTACCCTCCTCCCACCCCCTAGATTTCACCCCCGTCTCTCATGGAAACTAACATTTTCCGCTGGTCCCTTCCAGGCAGCTGGAAGGTGAGCACCGGAGAAGCAGAAGACACTGTCCAGGGAAACTTTACAGTGGGAACTTGAATCGGTTCTGTTAAAGGTAAGCCATTCTTGTCTTACTTACAAATAGCCTTGGGTCGTTAATGTCCTCTCTATAATCTTCCTCCCAATAAGGTTGTTTGGGTGATCATTTCTGAAAACGCAGGAGAGAAGGATTTACCGGAAGCGAGAAATTTAAAATGTGTTATTTTTTTTTTAAGTAGACAGAATTGGATTGCATTTTAAACAGCTTAACTGGGGTGGCAGAGAGTTTGCAGTGCGAGGGCCTGACCACTCTAGTTGATCGTAAATTATAGAACTTACTTGAGCACAGTGTGATTTGATCACACCCACCCTATGGATGATAATAGCGTTGAAACTGTTTTAAAATAACATTCTCTATTCCACTTTCACGAGAATTTGTATTCACCTTCGTAGTGTATCCTTTTGGGTTTCAGTAGTGTTGATTGTAGCCATATGTTCTAGATGATAGTACAAACTACTAGTATGTTGTGCCTAAATAAAATTATGCCAAGAATTTTATGGAGGAAAAAGTAACTCACCACACTTAGATTTGCTTGAGACTTTAGAGTTTTAAAAATACTAACCTAGGTATTGCAGGGTTTTGTTTTGGGAGATGCAAGAAATTGAAGAGCTGGGGAAAGTCTGATGGCTCCGTGGGCTGTAGCATGTCTGAGAGAGAGTGCATGTGGAAAAGAGAAAATACACGTGTACAAAACCTTGTAGATTCTAACCGTGCTTAATGTCATGGCTTCGCATAAATTGGAATTGTTTTTAGTGGTGACTTGTTCTCAGTGGTGACTTGTAAGCAGTGAAACTTATCATGTCCACACTGTTTTGGTCAGAACTTTGCACGTTTTTGTGAAACATTCTTTCTGTTTTTCTTACTCTATTTGTAACATCTATAGCAGTGTGCTTCCCTGCATTTTGCTATGGTAAGACTGTATCTTGTATGTAGAGAAGGAAGTCTAGTAGAGTGAGTTAAAAGGGATCTTTACTATGAAGAGGCATCATTGTTTGATGGACCATATGTTTGAGCCCTATTAATAAATCACACTAAAAAGAGGAAGATCTTAAAGCTATTTCAACAAATGCCCAGATTTGTAGAACAATAAAAAGAATTTCTGACAGAATTACTAGCAGTCAAAAAAGAAACGTCCTGGACAAATAACAAGCTGATGGGTGGGTCGCTATTGTGAGTTAGTATATAAGGCTGCATTTGAAAACCAAAGTTATTTTTGTCCTGTCTTTTCATGTGGATTTGTACTTATAAACTACTTGTTTGCAGATTTAAGGGACTATAGTTATGATTTCTTCGTAGAGATCTTGCCTTTAAGGAGTTCACAATTTAATGGAAGACCTGTACGCTAAGAATGAAAGGTAGAGGAAGTGCTGCAGGACAGGATGTGAACAGCACCGGGACAAGCACTGTGGCCCCTGCCACGTCCACGGCTCTGGACGTTCTGAAGTGCCGTTTTCCTGGACCTCATGTTTATTTCACACACCTTGGCTTCTCTCTGTAGGCGCTGTTCTCTCCTCTGGAAGGCCTTTCCCACAGTCTATGTGCCTGATGAGGTTCTATTTTAAAATCTTCTTGAAGTTTGCCACTGACCTCTACTCCATCCAAATAATTGTGTGTTGTTGTTTTTTATCTCTTTCTGTTAGTTTGTTATAAATAATGACAGTAGATTCACATTATTCACAGTGATTATGGTCTATAAAGTCACCTACGTCACTAAATTAGCAAATAATGAACCACTTTTCTTGGGGGAAAATAATCTTAAATACTAAATACAACCATCCTGGTAGATTCTGTTTTCTTATTTTTAAAAAGAGAAAATGAGGTTCAGAAGTGTTAAGTGACTTCCCTGAGGCCACCCCCTAACAGGTGCCAGAGTTAGGATTCAAACCCTTTCCTACTGGCTCCCAGGGCAAAGCTCCTTGCACTACACTACACTGCACTGCCCCCTACCGTCTGTGTCCTTTAGTCATCTCAATATGAGAGCTGAAAGAAGACAGAGAGCACTGCCTTGTTCTGCCGTAGCTGGAAATTTTTGCCATTCTGTGCATGTCTGTAAATGACTGTGAAAGTGCCATTGATTTTAGGATTACAAATAAATTTTAGCAAGTAGGTGAGTTCTTAAATATAGGATCCACAAATAATGAGGATCAACTGTACTTGTAAATGATCCCTGGAGTCTCTTTCCTGTTAGCCCTCCTTCCTAAGCTCCCCCTCCCCCCTGTCCACTGTAGATTCCTTAGCTTCTTTGAGAGTTCATTCATTTATTCAACAGTTTTTTATTAAGCATTTACTGTAAGTCAGGGTCTGGTCTAGACTGTGAACAAACTAGAGATGAAGCTCCTGCCCTTAAAGGTGTGTTATTTAAGTAAGAGGGACAGATAGCTAGCAGTTTGGAGCTCAGGGGAGAGGTCCAGGTTGGAATTATAGATTAACTTGACCACAGTGAAACCTGTTGTGCCCCTCCCACTTCACATCCCTTAGAATACTGACAGAACATTTCTGTTCTTCTCTGTGCATAACACTTCCTTTTGAGCCAAGCCACGTCCTAGATTATTTCCTTCTCCAAGTTCAATCTGTCCTTAGTTAGGACTCTGAGTCCTGGTCCAGTCTTTTATAGTCAAAGAAGTAGGATTGGCCCAGTCAGTGTGGTTTAGTGGTTGAGCATCAACCTGTGAACCAGAAGGTCACGGTTCAATTCCCAGTCAGGTCACATGCCCGGGTTTCAGGCCAGAACCCCAGTGGGGGGAGTGCAGGAGGCAGCCGATTGATGATTCTATCTCATCATTGATGTTTCTTTCTATCTCCCCTTCTCCCTTCCTTTCTGAAAACATTAAAATTATATCTTAAAAAATAAAAAGAAGAAGTAGGATTGGTTTCATGCATTATCTGTCCCACAGATTATAGAATATACAAAAGAACCCCTTGGAGACAGTTTCTTCAGAAGACAGTTAGGACTATGGGAGTCCTTAGAGTTTATTGAATGTCTGTCCAATTCAAATACCTATCACGTGATCATAGATAATGTTCAATAAAGCACCTGACAAAGTAACTGACACATGCCACAGTATTCCATAAATCTTCCTTCTGGTGTTGCATGTAATATAGTACAGTTATTTGTTCATATGGCTGTCTTCCTTCCTAGACTGAGCTCTATGAGGCAGGATCCACATCTTCATTCTTCTATCCTTGGCACTTAGTTCAGTGCCTGTTATATAGTAATAGAGGCACAAGTATATGACTTGAGGAATTTCTAACTCTTTCTGAAAGGATGGGAATATATGAAGGTTTCCTAGAGAAGGTATTTCGTAAGCTCTTTCGTAAAGGATAAATAGGAATGTCTTCCAAGTGAATAAAAGTTGAGACAGCATGCTAACTAAGTACGGACTAGCATGTGCAAAGGCACAGAGATATGAAAAGATAATAAGGTTGGTTACTGAACATTGCTAGTTGATTAAAAAAAACAAAACACGAAAAGCAAGCAAACGGAAATCACTTGAGGAAATAACTATGAATGGGCTTAGCTAGAGGGCATGTCACAACTGAGTTAACCATGACCGCAGCTGCTCAGCTATGAATGTAAGTTTTAGGGAGAAACTTTCTCAAGTAGTTGGTAGGGTATCAGTAACAGTTTAGGAATACAAGTATTGAATTCTGGGGACTATTACACTGCAGTGAAATTATTTACTTCATCATGAAACTTACATGTGTTCTATACCAATCAGGGTTCTCAAAATATAATCAAACTTTATTCTGAAAGAGCTCACAAGCTAACAAGGAGAAAGATGGATGAACTGATTTATCATATGATAAGTGAGGTAATCTATACATATAAAAGCCTAATATGCAAAGTGTCCCCTCCAGAGTTTAACCAGGAGACCAGGAGTTTGATTGTTTGCTATGACGTGTGCTGACCACCAGGGGGTGGCGCGGAACATGGCAAACCACCACCAGCAGCAGGGGAGTGCTGAGGGAGCAAGGAAAGGAGGAGGCAGGGAGGTGGAGAGCAGGTAACCTGATTGGCATTGATCGCAGGCCAGGCCTAGGGACCCTACCCGTGCATGAATTTCATGCACCGGGCTTCTAGTATATGAATAAAATGCTGTCTAAATAAGGAAAAAGGAATAGTAATATAGGAAGTGCTGGGGGAAAATTCTTCAAATGAGGTGATAATTGAGCTAGGCATTGGTAGGTGAAGAGGAAGGAGTTCACTAAACTGAAATTAGGGATTCTTTAAAGAATTAATATTTTGTGGTAGGAGAGCTTTAAGAATTACCCATTTTTGCTATCTGTTTTGGGTTTCAATTAATAGTTACACTTATTCAAACAGTTTTTATAAACACAAAATGTGAATAGTTATAATAGAAGAATGTTGTGTCAAAATAAACTTGTTTAACCAAAGGTTTCTGTAATGCTGGACTTCTCTAGAGCCTTTATTATATTATTGTCATTGAGAATTGTGGATCTCCAAAAGGGATACATTACATTTACCCATGGCTTCTCCTCCCTCCTCCTACCTCTCCCACCCCTGCAGCATACCTAAACATCTTTTTGAACAGTATTATATGAGACACTAGAGCAGTGATGGCAAACCTTTTGAGCTCGGCGTGTCAGCATTTTGAAAAACCCTAACTTAACTGTGTCACGTATAGAAATTTTTTGATATTTGCAACCGTAGTAAAACAAAGGCTTATATTTTTGATATTTATTTTATATATTTAAATGCCATTTAACAAAGAAAAATCAACCAAAAAAATGAGTTCGCGTGTCATAGGTTTGCCATCACTGCACTAGAGGCCCAGTGCACGAATTCGTGCACCAGTGGGGTCCCTCAGCCTGGCCTGCAGGGTTGGGCCGAAATCGGCTCTTCGACATCCCCCAAGGGGTCCCAGATTGCGAGAGGGCACAGGCCAGGTTGGAGGACTCCACTGGTGCACAATTGGGGCTGGGGAGGGATGTGTGAGGGGCGTGTCCAGCTCGGCTCACTCAGTCCCCATGGGCCAGACCCCAGCAGCAAGCTC